TGATGCTATATTGTTTGATTATCCGTTTTTTAAATGTTTTATTTCAATTCAACTTATTTTATTTCTCAGAAAAAACACCCACGGTGGTACATGAAATCCAATTATATACATTTTCTTATATATACAAAAATGGCGGCATTCTTGTGGATGATAATTATTGTTATATTTGTACTTGTACATTATGACGTGAAAGGTGACGGACTGGCTTAACTGATGTTTTATTCACATTTTACGATTTAAAAATAAGAAGTTTTATCCGGGTGGATGATAATTATAACGCGGAGAACAGGAAGCACTTGTAGGGGAAAGGGGACGTTTTTCTGTAACATGATCGTCGTCTTTGTGGTCATGTATCAGTTACAAACTGGCCAAACATCTTGTTATTATTCATATAGATATGAGAGAGACAGTATATGGATGTGAACTTCTTTATTATGAGGACCGCAATGCCTACTTCTTCATCAGGCGAATCTAAACATGACCCATATCAAATCATTGGAACCCGTTCTTTCACGCTCTGACCTGTGTGTTTCTCTGTATCCCTAGCGACCATCGAGTAGTATCTATGCAGCCATGTATTCCTCATCAATAATCTAAACTGGAGATGCCCAAAATCTTTTACAATTTGTTGTCTCCTCGCTTTCATTGACAATTTTGTAAATATACCTCTTCTGTTCAGGTTACAGTTTTGTAAATTATGCCTTTTACTGATACCCCGATTATGTTTCTAGGTTTGTCAGAACCATACCCGTGCTCGAGAGCTTCACCGAAGTGGTAAACGTCTGAGACCTGCATCACTTCGGGCTTTCCTCCCACATTAAGCTTACACGCCGTGATAAAACTGGTATAATGTTAAAAGCGGCGTTAAACCCAACCCACTCACTCTTTTAGCGATAAAATTATAAGTCAATAATATTTGCATGTTTAAGGATGCAAACTCACAACAACGCATTGTGCTTGGTGTACTCATGTGTAGATTTTATTTCCATAGCAACAGAGAATGAATAATACCATGTACGAGTTGCCAATTATTACGAGGTCGCCACATCATGGTGTCATATACACGTCATCAATCATGTGACACAATACATGTTCTCTTTCATCTTTTGCGAACAGGGGGCACGGGTGGCCCAGTCGTCTAAGGCGCCGCGTTTCGCTGTGCAGAGTTGCGTCCCTTGGGCATGCCAGAAACCCATGATTGTGGGTTCGAATCCCGGTTCGCCCCGATTATGTTTCCAGGTTTGCACCATACCCGTGCTCGTGGGTTTCACTGAAGTGGTAAACGTCTAAGATCTGCATCACTTCGGGCTTTCCTCCCACATAAAGCTGACACGCCGTGATATAACTGGAATACTGTTAAAAGCGGCGTTAAACCCAACTCTATCACTCACTCACTCCTGTACGAACGCCAAGAAGCAATCTTCGATTATGTTGTAATTGTAGAATACACCACTACTTGAATAACACTCAGCGCTGTAAGAGTTTGATCAAGAGTGTGAAGGTTCGAGCCTCGACCAGGCCAACCAGGGGTCGATGGCACGGGCACCGATTACATACGGTCATATATTCATGCGATGAGGACCGCCTCTGTGGCGTAGTGGACTGTAATATTGCTAAAAGCGGCGTAAATCCATACTCATTCACTCTTTGTAATTGAGGGGCGGTCGGGTAGCCTAGTGGTTAAAGCGTTCGCTCGTCAGGCCGAAGACCCGGGTTTGATTTCCGACATGGGTACAATGTGTGAAGCCCACTTTTGGTGTCCGCCGCCGTGATATTGCTGGAATATTGCTAAAAGCGGCGTAAAACAATACTCACTCACTCTACTTGTTTCAGGTTGATGGAACATTCTGCCATGGCGAGCACCGGTTGACAGAATGCTGATGTATTGTGATGCTAGACGTGACTGAGAACACCATGTGGACAATCTGTGTTCTGGACGTATAACCAACACTGACATCAAGGACATTTGGATTATCTAACATGCTGTGAACAATTCAAGATGGCGGCTACCACCACCGAGGAGGCAGCAGACCCCGTTCTGACGTCACTGCGCAACATTTTGCGCCGCCTGGAGGATGAAGAGAGAGACTCGAGTTACAGGCGGAAGCAGCTGAGACTTGTGGCTGTTGCACGCCGGGATAGAATGTACTCAGCACCGGAACTGGTATGTAGATCACTCACTAATGACAATCTGTGTTGGGGCAACCGACCGCCTCCGTGGTCTAGTGGTAGAGCGTCCGAACGGAGAGCGGAAGGTCCGGGGTTCGATCCCCGGCCGCGTTATACCAAATTTTAAAAAATGTTACTTGTTGTTACCCTGTCCGGCGCTCGGCATTAAGGGGCTAAAACAAGGACTGGTCGGCTCGGAGTCAGTATACTGTGAGTGGGGTATTTATGTTAAAATGCGGCATGGTATCTCAGTGGGCTAGCACTATAAATCGGCATCAGTCCGGACTAGTACAAGCAGCCACACACACACACACAAAACACACACAAAACACACACACACACACGCACAGTTATCAAGTGCCCACTTTAAGTAACACATGAAAAATAACAAACGTTTTTTTCCTGCAAAGTGCACAAACTTGTCATACAACACAAAGGCATATGTTGGTGTCCACTGCCTTCATAATGCTGTAATATTGCTAACACTGACGTCAAATGCCACTCACTCACTCAATGGTTCTTGAACTGTAGGTTCTCGTACTAACCACGAAATCTATATTAATTTACATTTTGGTGTTTCTTTTTCCATTTAATAGAATCTGATCCATTTTTTAAAGGTTTTTGAACATATTATTTGTTCTCGCCGCGATATGAATGAAATACTGAATATACGACCAAAAATGTTAACTCACTCACTCACTGTTTAAACACTATGACATGTATATCTATCTTTGACATAGTTTGTTATCATGCAATGCTGTCTGTGGTTTGATATAAAACTAATATTGTGGGTTTTATACCATCCTTCAAGATTCCTGCATCGTTTAAAGTTTTACATGGGATCGTACTCCTTTTTGTTACTGTTTGTCTATGTGTGTGTCTATGTGTGTGTCTATATGTTTGTCTACATATTAACTTTGAACGTGTTTCGTCTGAAGGCACTTCATACAGACGTCAAATATCAATAACGCGTCAATTGCTGAGCTCAGTGTAAACAGCTTTGTCAATAGAACTTCAGATATCAAACAGCTCTTTATGACACGTTCTTGAAACCGAATTTTTCATTGCGATATGCACTTAAGTTTGTTAGTATAAATTGTACCCAACACTTGAAGCGGTCATGCATCCACACAATAAGGCTTGAGTCTTGCTTACAGTCCAACGCCTTCGTTCTGAGCCTTTGATTACTTCATCAAACATGGCACCTACACCAGATTACCCACAGGGTGCTACACTTATCAAACATTCCTCTGATCCTGAGTGACAGCTATAGACAAGCACGTGCTTATGTCAATGTCAGTGTGCAGATATGTCTCATAACGACCACCAGCCATGTGTTGTGGGTAATAACGCACACCGCTTTGACAAGGCTCCAACGATCTCACACAGCGCCCCCTGACCCGAGGCTTTTGGGGCTAGGAATGAATGTAATCAGATATGTTTGTATATCTATATAAGTATAACTGACATTCTGTCGCGTGTGTATTTCAGATTCGTCAAAAACATATTGAAGTGTCACTTATCCCATTATTGATCGGTGGGTCACGGGTGGCTCGCGCTAGGATCTCGTGTTTTGTAGTCACATGGATAGAAAGGCCTTTTTTTTGTTATTTGTTAAACAGCCCGTTTGTAAAATTACGTGCAGTTATTGACAGAGGTGTGTGAATTGAAGGAAGAGGTATACAACTAAAACTGTGCCCCACACTGCGTGTTTGTGTGTATTCCAGGGGACATATCGGTATGGTCGTCTAAGGCGCCGCGATTCGCTGTGCAGAGTTGCGTCCCTAGGGCACGCCAGAAACCTATGATTGTGGGTTCGAATCCCGGTTTTCCCCGTTTATGTTTCTGGGTTTGTCTGCATCACTTCGGACTTTCCTCCCACATTAAGCTGACACGCCGTGATGTAACTGGAATATTGTTCAAAGCGGCGTTAAACCCAACTCACTCACTGGTGTATTCCTATACCCTGTCATCTGCGATCCTTTGGGACCCGGGTCAGAATACGTTCCCTGTTCCCTTTTTGTAATATTATTGCCGGGGTCTTACTTTGACCTACAAAACTAGGGACCCAGGGCCCCCCAATAATTAATTTCACGGGTCCTTAAGGAAATATGAGTGTCCTTTAAAGTACTGAAATGGTTCAGTTTCGTGTACTGTACTGTAAGATTAGATAATTACTTTTATTACAAGACCTTGTCAAGAAATTGGTACAATGAATTTCACTGTGCGTGCCTCGGGATGCAATGTATATATGCTTTTCTGCGTCCATTCTAAACTGCACCCTACACATGAACCATACAACGCCGAATACTTTATTAGTGGAATAGAACCAGACTGTCGTACCTTACACGACCTTGTGTGTGAGTGATGAGCGAACGCTTTAGCCACTGGAAGACTCGAGAATTTACGTGAGCACTGACGTTCTTTTATACACTGAATGTAACGACGAGGGAGCCCAGACAAGAGGCAAAGCAGCAGCCGTGGGCTGCAGATGATAAATCAAAGAAAATCAGTATCCGATCCCTCCGCCCCTCCCACCTGTTTCCGATCACTCCGCCCCTCTCACTTTCTTCCGTTCACTCAGCCCCTCCCACCCGTTTCCGTTCTCTCCGTCCTTCCCACCTGTTTCCGTTCTCTCCGATCCTCCGACCCGTTTCCGTTCTCTCCGTCCCTCCCACCCGTTTCCGTTCTCTCCGTCCCTCTCACCCGTTTCCGTTCTCTCCGTCCCTCTCACCTGTTTCCGCTCCCTCCCACCCTCCTACCTGTTTCCGTTCCCTCCGACCCTCCCAACTGATTCGGCTCCCTACGCCCCTCCTACCTGTTTCCGCTCCCTACGCCGCTCCCCACGCCCCGCCCACCTGTGTCCGCTTCCTCCGCCCCGCCCACCTGTGTCCGCTTCCTCCGCCCCGCCCACCTGTTTCCGCTTCCTCCGCCCACCTGTGTCCGCTTCCTCCGCCCCGCCCACCTGTTTCCGCTTCCTCCGCCCCGCCCACCTGTTTCCGCTTCCTCCGCCAAAAGTGTCCGCTTCCTCCGCCCGCCCACCTGTGTCCGCTTCCTCCGCCCGTCCCAACTGCTTCAGCTTCCTCCGCCCACCTGTGTCCGCTTCCTCCGCCCCGCCCACCTGTTCCGCTTCCTCCGCCCACCTGTGTCCGCTTCCTCCGCCCCGCCCACCTGTTTCCGCTTCCTCCGCCCACCTGTGTCCGCTTCCTCCGCCCACTTGTGTCCGCTTCCTCCGCCCCGTCCACCTGTTTCCGCTTCCTCCGCCCGTCCCAACTGCTTCCGCTTCCTCCGCCCACCTGTGTCCGCTTCCTCCGCCCCGCCCACCTGTGTCCGCTTCCTCCGCCCCGCCCACCTGTGTCCGCTTCCTCCGCCCCGCCCACCTGTTTCCGCTTCCTCCGCCCACCTGTGTCCGCTTCCTCCGCCCACCTGTTTCCGCTTCCTCCGCCCACCTGTGTCCGCTTCCTCCGCCCCGCCCACCTGTGTCCGCTTCCTCCGCCCCGCCCACCTGTGTCCGCTTCCTCCGCCCCGCCCACCTGTTTCCGCTTCCTCCGCCCCGCCCACCTGTGTCCGCTTCCTCCGCCCACCTGTGTCCGCTTCCTCCGCCCCGCCCACCTGTTTCCGCTTCCTCCGCCCACCTGTGTCCGCTTCCTCCGCCCACTTGTGTCCGCTTCCTCCGCCCCGCCCACCTGTTTCCGCTTCCTCCGCCCGTCCCAACTGCTTCCGCTTCCTCCGCCCACCTGTGTCCGCTTCCTCCGCCCCGCCCACCTGTGTCCGCTTCCTCCGCCCCGCCCACCTGTGTCCGCTTCCTCCGCCCCGCCCACCTGTTTCCGCTTCCTCCGCCCACCTGTCCGCTTCCTCCGCCCACCTGTGTCCGCTTCCTCCGCCCCGCCCACCTGTTTCCGCTTCCTCCGCCCACCTGTGTCCGCTTCCTCCGCCCCGCCCACCTGTGTCCGCTTCCTCCGCCCCGCCCACCTGTGTCCGCTTCCTCCGCCCCGCCCACCTGTTTCCGCTTCCTCCGCCCACCTGTGTCCGCTTCCTCCGCCCACCTGTGTCCGCTTCCTCCGCCCCGCCCACCTGTTTCCGCTTCCTCCGCCCACCTGTGTCCGCTTCCTCCGCCCCGCCCACCTGTTTCCGCTTCCTCCGCCCGTCCCAACTGCTTCCGCTTCCTCCGCCCACCTGTGTCCGCTTCCTCCGCCCCGCCCACCTGTTTCCGCTTCCTCCGCCCACCTGTGTCCGCTTCCTCCGCCCCGCCCACCTGTGTCCGCTTCCTCCGCCCCGCCCACCTGTGTCCGCTTCCTCCGCCCCGCCCACCTGTTTCCGCTTCCTCCGCCCACCTGTGTCCGCTTCCTCCGCCCACCTGTGTCCGCTTCCTCCGCCCCGCCCACCTGTTTCCGCTTCCTCCGCCCACCTGTGTCCGCTTCCTCCGCCCCGCCCACCTGTTTCCGCTTCCTCCGCCCACCTGTGTCCGCTTCCTCCGCCCCGCCCACCTGTTTCTCTCTTTCTCGGGCAGAAGCTTAAGTCATGGGTTTGAATCCCAATTCTCCCTGATAACGTTTCTATGTTTGACAGCACCATACCCTTGCTGGTGGGTTTCACCAAAGGTAAAGGTCCGAGACCTGCATCCTTTCCTCCCTTATCAAGACAAGACGGCGCTATATCCTGACATTCTGTTCGTAACGGCGTTAAACGCCAATCACTCACTCTACACGTTACAGGTTATGAAATCCAAGCTTGACGGTTCTATATCCGCCCTTGACCAACACGGACGTTCTGTCCGCTGTAATATCGACACTCCTATCACCACAGTTGGTATAGCTTCTTCTAAGAGTAATTCAGTACACCGGCCATGCGAAGCTCGCTTACCCGTACACAAAACAACATTATTGAGGAGAAATGGAATTTATGACGTGAAGGTATGTACTCGGAATACCTCTTATTATGGTGAGAAGTCAGTGACTTGTGTATTCATATTGTGTTTATTTCACCGCGTTGACGCATTGTGTGGTGAATACAGAGACATATGACACACATAATCTACAGAAGCCAAGTGTTTACCCAGGTATAATTTCATTACACACCGCCTCAATTTAAATACTTTTGGTTTTAATTTTCTTAAACGCGCATACGCGTATTTAGCATCTTCTCAGCACTGTCAATATGCTTACGCCCCTCCTGTTGCAGTGGACTTGCCCTTCGTGCCGTTGAGTGTTGGTGTTATCAAACAATGTCATGCGCTGTTTGACAATATTTGTCAGTCCCTAGATTGGTCATTTTCACAAACATGGCTGCTAGCAGACAAACGTTAACCCCCCATCAGATAGGTTGATATGGGACTGAGTTTCAGACACCGTTATTCCTACTGTCACCGACAAACGAAGGTGCAGGTTTCGTAGGATAATTAATATGTGGATTCATTGCCTTGTGAAGCTGTAATCTCATCAGCTGATCTGGAACTGGCTTCTCATTGGGTAGTAGTCTTTGTTGGATATGTACACCAAGCCAGGTAAGACACTAGTTCTAGCAGGGAGTTAGAAATGGCAGTAGAACTCAATTATTAATTTTACTGCAGTTTAATGAAACACTTGAAAAGGATTTCTCCAAATTATAATCAAATTACCAAATTTGAGTATGCTCATTCACATATTATTCTCTACAAAAACACACAACCCGCATAACTTTTATATTGACTCCTATTTTGAATATGGCGACGACAGCTGATTGAAACTGACACAGGGTAGATCGATTTTAAAACCAAATGATACAGATCTATAGCTTATAAAGCATAACTCTTGTGATGAAAGGGCTTAGGTCATATAACCTAGTGTTGAAGCGCAATACACAATATAACCCTCGTGATGAAGATGTTAATATGATATAACCCAGGTGATGAAGGGGCGTATGTCATATACCGCTTGTGATGCAGAGTGTTATGCAATATAACCCTAGTTATTCAGGGGATAATACATTTTTAACCCGAGTGATGCAGAGTGTTATACAATATAACCCTAGTTATGCAGGGGATAATACAATAAAACCCTAGTGATGCAGGGGATAATACAATATAACCCTAGTTTTGCAGGAGATAATACAATATAAACCTAGTTTTGCAGGGGATAATACAATATAACCCTAGTTATGCAGGGGATAATACAATAAAACCCAAGTGATGCCGAGTGTTATGCAATATAACCCTAGTTATGCAGGGGATAATACAATAAAACCCTAGTAATGCAGGGGATAATACAATGAAACCTAATGATGCAGAGTCTTTTGCAATATAACCCCAGTTATGCAGAGGATTATACAATATAACCCCAGTGATGAAGAGGGATTATATTATATTACCTCAATGATGAAGAGTGTTATCCAATATGATATAACTAGTGCAGCATAGTATAGCCCTCGTGATGCCGAAACTTGGATTATATGACATAACTCTTTTGATAATGAGGCCTGTGAAATATCAAATCGAGTGATGGAGACGCTAAACGTATATAACCCTAGAGGTGCAGGCGCTAAACGTATATAACCCTAGAGGTGCAGGCGCTAAACGTATATAACCCTAGAGGTGCAGACGCTTAACCCATATAACCCTAGAGGTGCAGACGCTAAACGTATATAACCCTAGAGGTGCAGACGCTAAACGTATATAACCCTAGAGGTGCAGACGCTAAACGTATATAACCCTAGAGGTGCAGACGCTTAACGTATATAACCCTAGAGGTGCAGACGCTTAACGTATATAACCCTGGAGGTGCAGACGCATAACGTATATAACCCTAGAGGTGCAGACGCTAAACGTATATAACCCTAGAGGTGCAGATGCATAACGTATATAACCCTAGAGGTGCAGACGCTTGACGTATATAACCCTAGCGGTGGAGACGCTTAACGTATATAACCCTAGCGGTGCAGACACTTAACGTATATAACCCTAGAGGTGCAGACGCTTAACGTATATAACCCTAGAGGTGCAGACGCTTAACGTATATAATATAACCCTGGTGATGTGAGATGTTTACTTGTATAACCCTGGTGATGGAAATGCTTAACTTATATTAGTATATAACCCTGAGATAACTCCTTATAAGGTAGTTAACCGTGCTACACTCATAATGTAGTATTAACATACTTTTCAAAATGGCGTAAAAAAGCTCACTCAGAATATCAATACATATTATTATATCGGTCAAAGACTCATTCACAGATATCTGATTTATGTTTACCTGATTTGAAACAAAGGTTAGGCCGTGCCACTGATCTACGCGTCGAGAGTCGCGCTTTGTAATTACGAAGTATATGTGTTGGCTGCGGCTAGCCAGGCACGTAGGCGGCATGTCCTTTGATGTCTATGTATTGTAAAGCTATATAGAATCACCTGTTGCCGCGTCTGTGTAGTCCAGGGAAGGCACGGGGTACGGCAGGTGTTGGGTTTAAGTGGTGTGTAGTTAAGGGATTTCAAACCCTCACTATGGACTGTTTAGTGACTTCGTACAGTCACGGAGAAGAGCAGATGTTTGGGCCTGGCGCATGCAGACCATGGTTTGTGATGGTCAGTGAACTGCCCGTCGTCGTCACAATTGTGTCTGTAAGTAACGTATTCTTGACATTTTATGTTTTTGAATGCTATGGTGGCCTTGTGGTTATCGTATTCGTCCTCACACTGAATGCTTGGTTTCGATTCCACACATTGACCTACGTCATAAAACTGGAATATTGCGGAGTGCGGCGTAAAACAACTAACCAATCCACACAATTTGTAAAGCCCTTTTCTGGCATCCGCTACGTGATATTGCTGGAATATAGCTAAAGGCGAAAAACACAACTCACTCCCATTGCAATCATTAGTATACTAGGGGGCACGGTTGGCCCAGTCCTCTAAGGCGCCGCGATTCGCTGTGCAGAGTTGCGTCCCTTGGGCACGCAAGAAACCTATGATTGTGGGTTCGAGTCCCGGTTCACCCCGATTATGTTTTTAGGTTTGTCAGCACCATACCCGTGCTCGTGGGTTTCACCGAAGTGGTAAACGTCTGAGGCCTGCATCACTTCGGGCTTCCCCCCCACATTAAGCTGACACGCCGTGATATAACTGGAATACTGTTAAAAGCGGCGTTAAACCCAACTCACTCATTAGTATACTAAAATATATTAACATCGAGCATATCTCTCAGTGATGTGGATTTTAGGCTGAAGAAATAGACTTCTTCTTATTATTGTTATTATTATTATTACATGATATGTAAAGGTACTCTTTTTATGAAAGATTAAGAATTGCTATCTATCTTTAGAACTCTCTGATTATCATCATGTTCATGATAATGGATGCATTTTCCACTCATCACATTCAGCTACAGTAAACTACGGTTATAACGAACACGCTTATAACGAACTGACGGATATAACGAACTTACTTTTTGGTCCCCACTATTTGCTGTAGTTATGCTGTATATATGCTTATAACGAACTACGGCTATAACGAACTAAAATTAGTAGTCCCTTTGAGTTCGTTATAACCGTAGTTTACTGTATGACGATTGAATGTCATATGCTAGTCAACAGCTGGTTGGGATATTCCGAGTGTGGCGCCTAAATGTGTGTGACTTGTTCTTGGAGAGGGTGTCATACAAACAGTATCCCATGTTGCCATGCAACTTTAGCATGATCAGCTATATTTTAAGTTAATAAAGGTAACTACACAATACACGTACACCATTTACTTACCCGTGAAGATCCGGGTTAGAATAGGTCTTAGCAACCCATGTTTGCCGTAAAAGGCGACTATAGTTGTCGTAAGAGGCGACTAACGGGATCGGGCGGCCAGGCTCGCTGACTTGGTTGATGCTTTTCATGGTATCCCATTTGCGTAGATCGATGCTCATGATGTCAATCACTGGATTGTCGTGTCCAGACTCAATTATTAAAAGACCGCCGTCATATAGCTTGAATATTGCTGGGTGCGGCGTTAAGCAGCAAACAAACAAACAATCTCCGTTTGCTGTCCTCTTGTGTTTCCTCAGTCCTATATACGCAAAACAACATAATTTGTTTTATGTGGCCATTTAAAAAAATATTACCAAAAATCGAATTTATGTGTCTGTATAGATGCTGGACAAAATTGACCAACCATTACGTAGCAACATGTTTATTAAGACTCACATGGTCAAGTCTATCTCAACACAATAACTGTTCTCAGTTCTATCAGGGATAAATAAATACCCTCATCAAACATGCCAGCACCCACTAGCGGGTTTATCATATCCCAGAGCGCTAATACCAGTGGGATTCCAGACCCGATACCGTTAAGTCGTGATAAAGACTTATGAGGACCTTTCGTCCGAGGAGCTGTTGATCCCACAAACACCCGAAAGTCCCCTACCACCCGGGGAGTTGCGTGTTTACCTATCTATTATATACAATATGATAAAAGTAGAATGGCCCGCACTATCAACAATGGCGTGTTGACCAATAGGCGGGACGCTGATAGGAGTAATAATGGCCACTTTATACTAGGAA